ATACAAAACAGTGCATTCTGAATCCATCATAAATTTTTCAGAAAAATATTTGAACCTACTTTGCTCCTTGGGTCGGTACAAATTGTTTCATTTCAAGATTGTACACATACTATACCAATATGCTAATTATAATAGAGCTGTTCTAAAAAATATTAATCGAAAAAATTGAATAAGAATATCTGATCGGATTCTTCTTGATTTCGATGATTTTTTTTTCATTCAGCTGGGAATTCAGAAGGCTTTCAAATACACCAAAAATTTGCTTATCTTTCGAGTTATAAATTAAAAGGGCTTATAAGAAGGAGACTGTAGTAACTTGTAGCAGTCGTTTTGGAGCTATAGTAAAAAGCGACACAAGGCTGCTATTTCGAAAAGAAAAGATGGATGATAATAAAATCTATGCACTTTTGAATTTGATTGCAACGTTTTAACAAAATCTCAAACCAGTAGTTATATGTATATGAACTTTCCGCAAACTATGTTGATCTGAACCCATGTACCTTATTGGAATTTTAGTGTCAATATTCATGTAAATTAGTATCAAATGGTTTGAAAGAATACTTATGTCTTGGTCATTTGTATCACTATTTTATTAGACACTTATTAAAACACTTCAGTTATGAGTATTAGTATTTTTTATTAAAAAGAATATATTTTTAAATATTTGTAAGACGGTTTTTGAGCTATATCTGTGAGGGATAAGTCCATATAGGTATTAATTAGTTTAAGTTCTAGTTTTGAAGATTAAAAAAAAAAAAGAGTGTCTGACCACTAACGGATTCAATGGAGGGGCGCGCCACCAAAAAATAACTGAACAATCTCAGTTTATATTATTATTATTTTAATTGAAAAGTTTATTACATTAAATAAATTAATGTTATTTTACCCAAAAACAACGGTTAATTTAAAAATTCTGAATATTTACTCTAAAAATTCTTCATTTATTGAAGAAATATCTTAATGTTGAAGCTGAATGTTGTTGATAGAGTTCTCTGATCCCTTGGAAACTATTTCAAATTGAATTTGTGGAAACAATATTGCACATATATCATATTTAAGCTGCATAGATGTCAATTATCCAAATGAGGAATTTTGACCGCTATAGACATACACCTTTGGTGTTTGGAATTCACCTATTTCGCAAGTACGCCCTTCCCCTCCTCCCTTCTTCAGAAAATTCTAGGATCCTCCAATGTGAAAGTCCGAGGGATTTGATTGTTATCTAAATATAATTTGTAAACACAATATTTTAAATCACACCTTATTTTCGTTATTTCAAAAAATATATTTAATATTATTATAAAGATATTTTTTTATATGAATATTTTTCTACTCTAAAATACATCATGATAAAATGAATTACGAATTTCAATGTTAATTTTGTATTATTTTGTAATATGTTGCCTAACAGTCACAGCCGTAATATGACATCAACTACCTTCCGCTTTTATAACGAATATATCAACGTGTATATTTATTTATGATCTAATATAAGCTCCGACCAAAATATAATGAAATATTACACAACATTAAATTAAATGTAAGAGATATGTTTAGCTTGTTATATGATAAGCCCCCACTTCCTAGCCTATGGTGACATTCACTAACCGAAATTCCCGCCCCATAATTGTCTTATATAAGTGGAAGCAAAGGTATTTTTCGCTCTGATTAGTAGCTAGGTTCTCACGCATTCGAAGGACAAAAACATATTTTATGTTCTTAGTTGCCAATGAAAAATATTAAGAAAAAAATATATTAATACTAAACGGTATTTGAAATTTTAAAAAAAACCTGACAACTTAAATCGGTAAATTCTGTCCACACTAAGAGAATGGACTCCCATATCTACATAAAAGTTTTGGTAGATTGATAGGGAAATTAACATCTACTAATATTTAAACTAGTTGTAACAGTCAACCCTGTCACAAAATAGTTTGTTAAGCTTCGTACATTCAGGTTAAATTAAATTATTCCTTAGTAGTAGCTAGCTCGTATGGATTTTCGCGCATCAGATACATTTATATACAAAACAAGATTATTTCTTTATTGATGTATTTTATGCTAAAGTGTTTTCATAGCAAATTTTAAATGCTACAATATTTATTTTTTTAATATAATAAATTACTGAATATATACTCATCATAAGATGTTAATAAAGATTTTTATATTCAAAGTAAATATTATAGAACTTTTGCTGGCTGCAAGATGAATTTATGATTCGTTTGTGTATTTCAGATTGAAGTACTTTCTTCAGATTCTGAACTTATATAATACAGCAATAAACATAAAAGATCGGAACATATTTAACTGTAAATTAAAACATATTTTAGTTTAATGTAAATTGTATTGTTTTTTTTCATAGTTTTTATTTTTTACCAATAAAATTAATATGTTATAATTGTATATTTATAAAAATGTATTGTACAAGGGTTCATACCCACAGAAATTTTTAACTTGTAACTGGAAAATATGGAAAAAAATATATATACATAAAAAAAATACAGCAATATTCGTTTTATTTTTAAATAAGAGAATTACTTAATATAAACCAATTACATGATAGTGATAAAACAATTTATGTTTGAAGTAAACTTAATAAATCTTATCAGTAAAGATAAGATATAACGAAAGTACCGGTAATAAAGTTTCGATAAATTTATTTAAAGACGGAAAATGAGTATAAACAATTCAATAACTTACGTACAAATAAAAAATTCAATCCTAAAAGTTGAAAAATTACCTTAGGAATTCATAAATATAAAAATTCTCTCCAAGTAGGTACTAATACGTTCCATACTTTTCCCCAATACAAACACTTAACTTAAACTTAAATATTGTGAGGGGCTCCACCAAACCATCGAATTCCTATTGTATCCAATCTTTACAATCAAAAATCCTTAATGCTCCACACATTGCCACAACTAAAACCATTCTTAAAGATCTTTATGTACCATATGTTGCTGATTTAGCCCTACCTATCCTTTCATGATAAACTCCAGTCCCATCCGAATCCACTTGTTTCCAGTCTTGCTTCTTCTTCGATTTCTGATAAACCTCCTAGGCGTCTGAAAAGGAGACGGCCTCGTGATCTTGTTACCTAGAATTATTTAGGGAGTGCTACCACTGAGTAGTACCTCTTTAAGCCTGTTCATGTCATTATTTCTAATTTGAGCATATTTACTGGTTGTATTTGTATACAGTTGTAAATTCTATTAAATAAACATACAAACAAAAAATCTGAGCTTTGAAAACTACTCAGAGTTCTAAAATCAATATTTCTGCAACCTATTCTTTTTCTTTTCTTTTTTAATCACAAAAACCGACATTTCCGTGCCTCTGGCCCAGACACCGCTCACTATTCGGCTGGTACAGAAAGGTCCAAGGACACTAAACAAACAGCCTATGTTGAGAATTCCTTACTTTCCCTTAGGAAATTAGTGCACCAATTCCGCAATTTGTCGTCCATTATGCGAAAAATATCCCGGTCGACCTCTGTCATTCAGTTCGGTAGCAATTATAGCCTTCCATTAAACCGCTGACATTAACGCTAATTAACTTGGTTTGCTCTCTCTGTTCAACTGGAAAAAATTATAATACTTAATTACGTAATTAAAAAAAAAACATATATTGATCCATTTTCCCTCATATTTTATCCTTTTTTACTAAGCAGTATACAATTCTTCGGCAAAGAACAGACACCCATGTAAATCATGTTTCATGTATTTTTCATAAATTGCATCTTTATTGTACATTGGACTCTTACACAAAATGTTTATTTAGAGCATACATACGATTGCAAAAATACAAGAATTATCAAGATGATATAATTAAATCCTACATTTTCTTAAATATGGAATAAATTCCACATCTTCGCTTAAACTATACAATATGCGATTTAGGCATACGGTGCAGAACATTGTGGCTCAGAAAAAGAAACACGCATGAACAAAATACAAACAATACAATTCTAAATTATTTAAAAAATTGTTATCCCACCATAATAGGATATTTCTATACACAACGACTTAAGCGTTTCAATAGTAAACTCTTGCATACACAGCAAATACACATTTCACCCTTGAACCTAATCACTTCAATCCAATCGTTTTATCTCGTGTTACTCGGTCAGTCCGAATGAAGAAGAAAAATAGAGTTGCCCAGTGATTAATATAAAGAATATTAATGAATAGTCCGTGGTAAAGATCTCTTTTTATCGAATTATTGACATCCGCCTGAAACTTCGTAAAAGGTTTCATCTCATGGTAACCTACAACTATTTTATTTACGAAAACTCTTGGAATAGGGGAGTTTTCAATCTGGAGGGGAGCAAACTTTGTCTATTTAATTAGGCACTAAAAACTAGTTAATACTCATTTTCTTTCTACTTTGTCCGTAAGATATTGTGATCACAAAATCAAGAAAAAAGGTGGCCTTCCAGGTTATTGGGCCGTTCAATCGTTCAACGAAAAACTTTCAGCATTCATCGGATCTGAATGATTTTCAGTCCTTATAATAAAATTCCACATTTTAAATGAATGAAGAAAAAACATATTCATATTGTTGTATTGGGAATTCTGTCATAGTAAAATTGTTTGTAAAAATATAACCAGATAAACCATAATTGTTTATAATATAGTTTTGCAGTTGTATTCATCTTGGTATTATGATAAACTATATTTATATACCCGAGTTAGAAATTTCTTACTATCCTTTGGTTTATTTTAGTTTAAATTTCACTCAAAAATAACTAAAATTTTAGCTAAAGTTCATAATGCTACAGATGACGATCTTTGAATCAGATGACCATTATTGAATTAAGGAATGATTATGAAGAAAATACAGTTCTTAATATTTTTATATAAAAATGTATTATTTTAAAAAATTATAAATTAAAAAGATAATCGTTTTCAGTTGTACTTTAAATTATTAACTTTTTTGACGAAAATGCTCAACAACATGAATCGTACGAAGCAACAGCATCGAGTTTGTTTATTTAGCATGTTGGCATTGTTTTAGTCTTCCACATTATTCTTAAATATTCCTTAGCAATCATTATTCAATTTTCAGATAAACCGCATAGGACGCGACGCCACACCTGTTGTGGCCACGCTTGAGGTGCATGAAACCCCCCTGACCCCAGGTGGATGTCCACCAGTTCTGGAGGATCCAGCTGTGCTTGGTGTAGCCGACCAGCAGCATGGCATGGTTCAGAGTGCTCCCGTCGCAGGACCTGTCATCGTATACACCGGAGTGGTAGAGTTGGAAGGTGTCCGGATTGGCGTTGACGGACACAGCCAGCGGTCCGACCGTCGCGACAGCCTTCTTCAGCGCCACTTCGTCGCCGTACGGCAGGACTCCCCAGGTCTTCACGCCGACTCCTTCCGTATTGTAGAGTGCCTGAAGCCTGAGAAAACAACATGAACGTTACAATATTATGTTAGTAATACATTATTAGATTGGAGACAGCTGACCAAGGTAGTCCATTTGCTCTGAAGTTAAGCGCAATAAATAGTGTAGCATATTCTAAATTTGATATTTTGGTATTTTAGTGAAGTGTAAATTAGTTCATATTTTCTATTGCAATTTTATTGTCTAAATCATATGGTTTTAAAAAGAACATATGTTATTATTAGTTAGTATGTAAACAAGTTGTTAGTTGAGTTAATAAATGAATTAAAACATTTATTTTAATTTATATGTTAAGAATATAATAGTGGCCTGAAGTGATCAAAAAGTATTTTGAACGACTTGGGTCCTATATTGGCCAGCAAGAGATCTGTTTGACTCTCACGTGACGTGACCCCGCGAACTCGTAATTCGATCGTACATCGTTCTTCGTAATATTCTCAGTCTTCTTCTTCTGGATCGAACGATGGAAAATTAAATTTATGTATTGCAACATTTTCTTTCTCTGTTAAATCTTCCGTGTCTACGATGTTTACGTTTCTTTTTCGAGGCATGTATATTCTTTTCTATGTGTCCGCAGCGCCACTATTATATTCTTAACATATAAATCAAAATAAATGTTTTAACTCATTTATTAACTCAACTAACAACTTGTTTACATACTACCTGACAATAACATATGTTCTTTTTAAAACCATATGGTTTAGAGAATTAAATTGCAATAGAAAAAATGAACTAATTTACACTTCAATAAAATACCAAAATAACAAATTTAGAATATGCTACAAATAGTATCTTGAAATACATTGCTCGCAGACTCCCGATCGCTTTAAATTAAGCCACTGAACATTGCTTTAATTACTTCTGATGGAAAAATCAGGTACTTGATTTACTAAGATAATTTGGATAATACGTAAGGCAATAAGAAGAAAATAATAAATATAAATTATGGGCTAGTATATATATATATATATATATATATATATATATATATATATATATATATATATATATATATTATGTGTGGACTCTAAATCATTCCCGAAAGTAGACAGATTCAAATACCTCGGCTCCACAATAAGCTCAATAAATGATCAACTAACAGAGATAGACCAGCGAATAACAAGTGCGAACAGATCTTTCTTTTCTCTTTCAAGGGTATCGAAACATCGATCGAGGGCATCGATATGAAATATATTTAAGAATATATATTCAGGATTTCATATTCTTATTTCATCAATCATATTTTTATTTTATAAAAGGTCCACATTACTCTCTTAATTTCATTTTATCAATAAAAAATATTTTCAACGTGTTTTTTTATTTCGTCTGTATTATAACATTTCAGCTTTAATGTAATTTTCATGTATAAATTCTAAAAAAACAAAAAAAAAACATAAAGATCCATTAAAGTCGTTTCATAGTATTCTCCTGTATTGTAGTGGTAGTTGAAATAATATTATAAAATTTACCATTATTCTAGTTTGATATTTTCACACACATGGTCAATGGTTATAACCATAAAGCAAATGAATCAGTTACAAAATTTAATTCTTTTCTTCTTCACACCACAATTACTTAGGCCTTCTTTCATTTTAGTCAAAACCGATTTTCTTTGATAACAGATTTTCAGCTTCAGTTTCATTCTTCCTCAAAATAAAAACTATTTACACTTAAAATATTATAGTTTGGATAACAGTTTAATGTAAATCTAAGCTACAATTGTACTTATTCATGGCTTACTTCTGAAACCTTGTAATTTGTCCACTCAATTTCATCGCATTCTCTATATAAAAATTTCTAATGTAATATTTAATATCAATTTATTTAATGTATATGTAATATTTACAATGTAACGTAATATGCTTTCTACAACGTAAGAGGTTTTTCAAAAGATTTTTGTAAACAAACAATCACAATTATTATCTTTCTGTAATATAAATGTACTTTTTTTTAATCAGATTTTAAAAGCTACCGATATGCTCAGTTTATAAGCCTACTTCAACATTAATGGTTCCTTAAAAAAAATTATAATAATAAAATCTAAAAAAAGTCATTGTTATAGCAAAATATTATTTGAGAACTTGAATTATCAAATTTATAAAGAGTTCTTTAAAAACTCAATTATCATAACAACATTTATAGAAGAATTTAAAAATAAACACATTATATTAAGTTGAACAAAAAATGATAAATACAATCTAACTGTGCAGCAAACATATAGCTTAGTCACAGAACAATATTTTTTTTATTTATGCGATACATTATTTTACAAAATATAGATACTAGCTTATGAAGGGATCTAAATGTATCTACAAATAGATACCAGAAAGATTATAGGTATATACTAAAAAATAATAAATAACTTTTTTTATACATTCTTAAAAACATAACCATGACCCAGATAATAATGTTCTAAGAATTCTCTAGCTCTGTTGTAAATAATTATTATAACTTCATTTAGTGTTGTCATTATTCACAATGATTAAATAATCGTTTCCGACAGAAATGTTTGACAAGACCACCTGGTCGATACCTACCCGTTTGGTCCTATCCCACTCATCACAAATCATAGGGTCATTTCCAAACCTGCAATTTATCAATTACTACCAAAAACAGAAACATAGATTTCGGGTACTGATTATACCCTAATGCTTGTTATCGTGACACGGAAAAATGGAAATATATGCAAGACAAGATTAACCAATAAATCACAACAATATTTAACAACCGCTAAACCTGTAATCATTTCCAACTTGCCTAGTGTCGCTATTCCAAATCCATATGAATTTTGTAAACCGATTGCGATTGGGTTGAAAGGAATTACATTTTCATTGTTTTAGCTTTATCATTCACTTTTTGTTTTATTTTTTTTTTCGTTTCGAAAACAGCAATAAAACGCAATTTTGTTTACCAAAACTATTGAGATTACAAGTATAAAATATATTCTAGTTTAAATCATTCTTTAATGATCCCTTGAAATTCTAAAAAATAAGTGTAACAACAATGGCCAATACGATCCTTGAACAACTCCTGTATTAATATAGAAATATCTTACAACTCTGGACAAAGGAAGTGAACATCTTCCTTCCTCTCCCCAATGTCACATTCCCTTAAAATTTGTTTGCTCTACTATTCACAAAAATGTAAATTTATAAAAATGGTAATTTTGTTTTTTTCCAGGCTCGAAACACCCCAGAAGATCTCCCTCAAAAGAATCAATTAGTATACCATTTAAATTATCTAAGACACGACAGTTTTAACAATACTTTGTACCTTGAAATCAACATTTAAATATAACAAATTACCTAGGACTCCATCTGGACAAACGTCTAACTTGGAATCCTCATACCAGACTGAAACGACAAGAAACAGTTCGACGTTTCCGACTACTTCAACACTTACTAGACAAACGCTCTAACCTTCCAATCAATTATAAAAGACTCATTTACATGACTATAATAAGGCCTATTTGGACTTACGGAGTTGAGCTATGGGGCTCCACCAAACCTTCAAATTCCTCTCGCATACAATCCTTACAATCCAAAATCCTTCGTAAAATCGTCAATGCTCCTTACTTTGTTACAAATAAAATTATCCATAATGTTCCTTATGTATCAGATTTGGCCCAATCCAGATATCTGTCCTTCCATAATAAACTTCATAACCATCCCAACCCTCTTGTCTCTAACCTTGCTTCCTATTCGATTCCTGATAACCCTACGAGGCGTCGGAAAAGAAGATGGCCACGTGATCTTCTAATATAGACATAAACAGAGTGCTACCAATGGGTAGTTTCTCAACATGTGTTCCATGTCTTTATATCAATGTGTGAATTTACCAGATGTATTTTTTGTATACAGTTGTAAATATCATATAAATAAATAAAAAAAATATAACAGTAGGAGATTTTATGTAGTTTTAATCCTTGTTTAATTTCGTCTGGAGATTCATAAAATAAAATACCTTATTACTAATATGGGAACACTTGTATGACTCTGGATATTAATTTTGTGCTAATATATTTAATTCAAATTAAAAGGGATCAAATTTATAGATAGTCAGTCGGATGTATTTTAGTAAACATGGTAAATGTTATGGAGGGGTGTACTAAACCTAGATGGGAGGATTGCTATAAGACTAATCTTGTTGATGTAAAATTTACTTTAAATATTTGGTGTCGCTGAGCCTTAAAATTATTTATTATTTAGTACTAAATAAAGTTTCATGCAATAAATTTTTGTTTGATAGGAATAAAAAGAAAATCATGAAACGTATCCTTCTAGGAAAAATAAAAATACTTAAAACAAAATGTGATGTCTCCAACTGGTCTCAATGCTATGTCGGTTTATGTTTCAGGAAATAAAACATGTGTGTAAAAAAAAAATATTCATAATTTCGTTCTTCCACTCTTAATCGTCTCATGATACAAAAAAGTAATGGGAAAGCAAAGTAAACCTAGTCATAGACAAAGCTGAATTCAACCATATGAGTATGGTGTTTTCTTGCAGTAGTGCCTCTTCCATCTGTCATTGATGCCTTAATCTCAACTCTTTGCCCCTAGTATTTAGGTAAGGACCACTATGTTCATATTTTTTTATCGAAAAATCCTTGTTTCTTCTAAAATAGTGGTTCGAACCTTGTTAGCTATGTGTTATTATTAAAATTTTACTTACCTACATAAAGACTGCTTACCCTTGTACGGGTACTTGTCCCTCGTGAGGAGGTGGTACCGCTGCAAGTACTTGGCTGTGTTCCTCAGTGAGCCCCCTCTGCAGCCCAGGTTACCAAAGAGCACCGAACAATCTATCAGCTGCTGTTCTGATAATTCATAAAGGGTTCCATTTTTCTTGAATACCTAAAGCAATGAAATAAATATATTTACCGGATTTAAAAGAAAATATAATTTTATTTATCATCATTGAAGATTAGTCAACGAAACAAGTTACAACCAAAACGGAAATATCTGTTTTTACTTTCATACCTCTAATAGGTAAGAAAAGTATTGTGATCGGGTCAAATTTCGGATAGAGCTCCTTGAGCCCCATTTCAGAGCCCCTTGAGTCCGAAAAACAGATTTTTAGCCATTGGTCTGTCTGTCTATCTGTCTGTGCCAAGATTTTCTCGGCAACTAGAGAACCGATTTTGTTGATTCTTTTTTCATTTTGTAGAGTTTTGATTACTGATACCTGTGACAGAAATTGGGTACTCCGTGCGCAATAGCTGCTGCGCAATAAATGAAAAACTTGTTTTTCTATAGACAGTAGTGCGAAAACGGTTCTAACGATTTTAATGAAACTTTCCTATAATGTTTTAATAATTGTCCTTTCAATTTTCGTATATGTACTAAATTCGCTTGAAAATTCTGGAAAAAGGTTATTAAGAAAAGAAAAATGTTTTGGGGCCTAACTCGCTAAGTATATATTCTATGGTAAAATGTATAAATACAATAAGGCCTGCCTTTTATAAAGGTAATGAAATTACCTACAAAATCGTTCATTTCGGACAACTATTAACGAAGTTACAGCTACTCAATTTCCAAAGTAAGATTACGGGTTCATATACTGGTGTCAGAATGGGATGAATGAGAGAAAAAAGATGACTAAGTGAAAGTAAGAAAATCTGTTGCCAGCATCACACAAGCTTCACATTTCCTCTACTTTTAACAGAAATTATTGTTTGACAAAATTAGGCTATGACAAAAGTTTTTGATCAGCAATATTAGAGGATATTAAAAATTTTACAATGATCTACCTTAAGCCGGTTTACATTGCTTTAGTTTATCAAATAAATCGTACTCAAATCTTTTCTATGATAAATATTCAGGAAAATAAATCTAATTCATTTTTTTTTTTTGATGGACATATGTAAAGATATAAAAAACGTTTCTAAAATAGGTAAAAAAGTCGTGTGAGTGGACACACCAGATTTTTCTGTTTGTAGAACGAATACAGGCAGATCTTCTTTAAAGAAAATCCCTACATAAATATCATCACACTAATGCCAGAAATCTGTTTTTTGCCAAATATTAGCTCTTTTCATGCTCAATTACTATTTATAGTTCCGTTGGCTTTTTTTTTTTTTAAATAAATAAAGTCGATATAAATATTTCGCTAGGTTTCTATACTGGCACCGTGGTAAGTCAGTGGATCGAAACGGAAAATATTGGGATTTCAAGATTTTGATGAGGACTTCAAGACACGATTTAATTTCCTCTGAACAACCGGTCCCTTTAAGGCCAAAATTTCATAATTTTCGAGAAAATGCAAGAAAAATTATTCGCAGCCACATAACCTCACGTTTTTAGGTTTTTGTAGTGCTGCCATGGGTTACATGTCTCATGTCGTCGACTTGAGGTCCCTATGATCGACAGAAGAGGAGTTTATATTATTTATCAAAGACGTGTTTTTTGCCATATCTTCGTCAAGTATTTATTAAATCCAAAGATTGGGCCATTACTTTGAAGATTTTCTTATCCTTTCGGTTGAAAAAATAGTTACATCACACCGAATATCTTATGAAGGAAAAGAAACTTTATATGCGAATAACTCAAAAACTATACACATTTACATTATGTTTGTTTAATTAACTATTATTTAAAATATTGCTAGATTCTCTAAAAAAGGAAAAAATAATCAACGAAATCGGACTATTATTACCAAAGATACAGCTAATTGTAATTTTATTAACCTGTTGGTTTAAAAGATGAATGGTTTTAAATTAATTTTAATTACTATGGTCAATTATAATTATTCAGAAAATAAGTATTGATTTCTCCATCTTATGATTAGTGACCAAGGCCGCCTAACTGTTGCATGTCCAATACCTGGACTGGTAAAAACAACCGATTTTTTAAATAAAAATTAAGGCAAAATAATTACTAATACTTGAAAATCTTAGTTACTATATGTAAATAATTGGTATAACCAACATACTTTTGCATTTAACTCCTCTAATTTTTCATTCGAGCTTAGTTAGGTTTCTCCTATCTAAAAAATTACAGCAATATCTCTATAGTAATAAGCTAATAAGTAACTGAAAAACTCTTGCGCAAGACCAAGACCATGACCAAGACTGAGTTTGCAAGACCAAGACTCGTCTCGGTCTCGCGTTTCGGCAACACTACTTATGATAAGTACCATTATATTATTATCTTATTATTTTTTCATTTGATCAATAATCAACTGGTAATTATAATTTTAAGCTAACAGTCGAGCACCCATCACTTTAAACAATTATTTATGATAATTGTCTTATATTTAATGTCTGTGGTTCTTAGTCGCTGCTTATAATGTTCACTCATTGTTTCTGTGTTTGATATTTTATATTGAATTGTAAATAAACCATCGAAATACAAAATGAAACTGATCATAACAGTATAAGCTTGTATAACTATTTATGTATTTTATGACTCCAAATTTATAACAATCGAAAAAACGCCTAACATATTTACGCAGACTATCGGAATATTTCAGCGAAACAAAGTTGTGAGGGATTTCGAGTTTATTATAGACCTCTAGAAGTTACACAACACTGAACTATCTGAAATCCATATAATTTTTTATATAAAATTAATTTTTTCTATATCATTTTAATAGTTACCATTATGATAATATGAGGAGATGTTAGCATTTAAAATTAAACGAGGCAGCATAATAATATTAGTATAGGAGGTATTATACTTTTTGATTTGGGCCATTTTTTAGCTTTCTTCTGAGATAAATGAAGAGTTCTAGAATAGCCCAATATTAAAAATAAGGGATTGATGTGGATTAATTGATCTTATAATGTTGAGATTCTGTTTCTCTTCCTTAACCACTTATATATCCTGAAGAAGGTTCTACCAAGTGATCCGAAACATAGTTTATTTCGTTAACTATTTTGTTATATATTTAACGCTTGTTAATTAACTTTTTTTTGTTATTCCTTATTGCACTTCCTTCGAATATACAATATATTTGATGCAAAAAATAAAATATTTTATATGGTAAAATTGTAGGAGGCAGATATAATTGGAGTCTCAAAGCTTTGTGTTTATAAAATTTCAATTGTTTCCTAATGTAACTAAGGAAAGCAATTTTTTTTTGTCATAGTACTTTTAATTAAGAATTTTCTACTTTACTGGATTTTCTACTTCTAGTAATGTATTACTTAACTTTACCACTTCTTAAACAGTACTCCGTCTTACTATTTTTATCCAAATCTCAATACGAAAAATATTTATCTTATTTTTAAATGTTGTCACTGCTAAAAATGTGTGATTTGATAGCAAAGCGGATCCATAAATTTACCAACAATATAGTTTTTTGGGATTGAAAGATGAATTCTATTTCGGGTTAAGCCACTTTCCCACTCCCACTGACGAATGGCGGTGGATTATCCCAAAGGTTGCCGACTGTTCTAGCCAAATTGAGCAGGTGGAGATTTAATTACTGAATCCCCCACGAAATCAGAGGGTAGCCTACCAGCATCAAATCTCTATCTGCTGTAATCATCAGTTCAGTTAAATTTATCTTATCATTTTGAGGAAAACTTCCATTTATAACATCATCTTAGCTTCTCAAAAAAAAAATTTAACTAAATTTTCATAGTATTAAATTCTACTGCTATTTAGTTTTAGTCCAATAATATATATATATATATATATATATATATATATATATATATATATATATATATATATTCTTTTTTTTTTTTCTTCATAGTGTTGCCCAGATGCGAGACCAAGACGAGTCTTGGTCTTGCGTGCTTATGTCTTGTTCTTGCGTAAGACCTTTTGCCTTAATTTTTATTTTTAAAAATCTATTTTTTTTTAACAGTCTAGGTCTTGGTCTTGCAATTTGCAATACCAAGACCGATTTTGGGAAACGCTAGTTTAACACAAGAACTCGTTTTTACATTTGTTACGAAATCCCCTCAGATATCACACACATTTTATAACACTGAGATTTCTTTTTTGTTTTTTTAGAAAATGTTAATATATAAATATATAGCTGAGATTAAAGACATTAAATTATTGGCGTAACTGTTACAAAACCGTGCGAAAGCCATATACTTCCTGGTATAGATAAGGCTTTGTAGTCGAGATATCCGACACATGCTGCTTGGCACAATTGTTACACAACACTCAGGTGCGTGTCCCAGATCGAAACTGGAGCGGAGGACCTGCGACAGCCGATCTGTGGCTACACTCGATGCTATCAATCGAGCTATGGCAAACACAAGATGAGTAGCGGAACAATCAAGAAGATACCATCCATCAAAGGGCTCGAGGATTGTTAGTGATTCGGCATCAGCTAATAGAGAAGATTGGGACGGGGAGTGTGTTAGGTGACGTAAGTTCCGAAGCAGCCGTCTCGAAGTAGATCGAAACTACTTTCGCTCGACGTCAGTCAGACGATTCGGTTATTCCAATCGTTGAAAATATGAACTAAACGCTTGCTAACCCTATTGTGAAATTATTTTTTTAATAAATAAGCTTTGTTTTCATATTTGAATTGTTAATACAACAATTATATTAACATATGTTAAAAATAACCAACTATTTACTTTAAAAAATCGTAATATGTTCGTAGAAATATATTGTAGAAGAGCTTGGAAAATGCGAAACTTTAAATAAATTTTATGAGAAAAAATTGATCGGGGGTGCGGTCAAATTAATACTAAATTAAACAAGTAGAATTATTTAATTATTGCCAACGTTTCGATCCACTTTGCAGGTCTTCATCAGGGCAGAGAAGAGGAGTTTAAAACTGATGGGGTCAATGTGTCATTATGTGAAGAAGTGTTGAATGAAGATGAAGAAGAGTGTGAAGAGAAGTGATTAGATATCGGTGCTGCGTGATGAAAAGTTCCGGA